ATGGCTTTTCCCAGCACAGTGGGATCTCCCTTTAGGTGGGACCTTATCAATCACCACAACAGGACATACAAAACAAAACCTTAAAGTAACATTTAAAATAAAAAGGTGTCTATTTCTCCAAGTACCCTATATGAAGAATTGTGTACAGCTGCATTAGGTTGTTCTGTGTAATTCTCTGCCCAGATGTTCTCATATTTGTTTATTGTTACTACACACCAAAACAGCATAAGCATAGATATATTTTAGTGAACAAGAAAACACCAAAATAAAAAATATTTTTCTTAACATTTCATTACAGAAAAACACAAGAGTGTGTTTTGATCAACTTGGATTTGAAGGACTCGCAGTTAAGAGTGGGTATCATCAGTGGCAAAAAAAGAAAGAAGAGGTAATCAAGATGCCAAAAAATAAGCTTGAGAATAAAATATCAAAAAGAACCCAAGAAACAGCAATGCCATTAAATTAAACATCCAAAACTGAAATAGTACTGAAGGAGGAGACCACCCTCACACTCAACTTTCCATGAGCTCATTTCATTGTGGGGTGGTGGAACTACCCCATCCTTGGGGGCTCTGGACCTCAAAAGTGAATTCAAACACATGAACAAGAAAACAAGAGGAGCAAGAAAATGGTGCTGTTGTGCCGCTCGATTCCTCTGCTAGAAACCAAACCTGTTCTCCTATTAAACTAAAAGCAAGTTTTATTTTTAGCTGGAGAGTGTGATTTAAAGAGAGATTTTTTTCTTATATGAAAGGAAGCTGCAAGGAGCGAACAAGCCAGAAGTGCATTGTGGGGAATTCGCTCTGCTTCCAGCCTTGCTGGTGTCAAAAGTTAAATGAATTCCCAAGCCAGAAGCGCTAAAGAGAGATCTGTAGCTTGAAATACTTGGATGGGGACAGCCCCCGCTTCAACTTTAGGGTGTGAAGAGTCGTTTGTGAAATGTAACAAAGCAATCACACAATAGCACTGAGATGCCACCCTGTTCCTCAGCGTAAGGCCCAGAGGCTGGGTGTGACGGGGCGGGCATGGCCATGGGGTAGACAAGACAGGCAGCTGAGAGCAGACTTGCTACCGAAGCTGTTCCTGCCACCTTGTTCAAACCGTGGTGCTCCTTGATTTATTTAGTAAAATTTTAAATCAGCAGATGGATTTACATTGGAGAATCTGATTAGTGGCTGTATCGATCTGCGCTGTGCGGTGGATCTGGAGAAGCTGCAGAGCAGGGTGAACTGCATTACAATCAACAACACCCGCCCGCTGCCCCTCGCCGGGGAGCTGAGCAGGGAGCCCCAAACTCGCTTACCCAGCAGGACCGTGTTTCTCCTTTGACTCAACAAATTCTTGTCCCATTTTCAGCTTCTCCCACTCTTCTTTCCGGGTTTTGATTTTCCGTGGATTCACATTTCCTCGGTTCGGATTCTCCTTTTTCTCTTTCTAAGGGAGGAAGAATCAAACAGAAGCTTTATTTTGCTTTAAGCTCACCAGGAATAGGGAGGGATAGGATAGACCTGGAGTAGTTTCAAGAAGATACAGTCCCAAAGAGGGCCAGGATTTTTAATTTACTTTCCTGATTGCTGCAAGCTCCAAAGATCTCTCATACAAAGATGTTAGAGCACAGATAGCACACAAAAAAAAAGAAAGAAAGAAAGAAAGAGCATCAGATTTCACCAGTGCAGCCCAGACATGATGCCATCATTACTCCCTGGCATGACCACCTTGAGGGCAGAGTGAAAGCTCAGTTTCCCACAGCAATTCATTTTCTTGGCCTCTGTGTCGAGACTGCCAAACTTCACCACCACCTCACTGGTGGTAAGTGCTTTGGGGTACAATATGGACACTTGCCCACACAGAACTGGGCTCTAGCTAGCCTCACTCTCTGTGTTCTACCATGCCCTACATCTCTCCTTTCTTATTCTGATTGAAAAATCATGTTCTGTTTTGATATTTAATACTCCGGTTGCTCAAAAGCTAAATAAAGTATGTTCAAACTTAATCTTTTATGGTGTAAGTTTCAATGTTGGTAAACACTAGTCCAGATCCCCAGGCGAGCAAACCGGGAACTCTACCTGGCATTTTCAGCTTAAATGGTTTTGTTAAGCCTCCTGTTTGCCTCTAATTTAACATTAGGGTCTGGTTTTGTGCTCCTGGAGGGACATTTTCTCCTTTCTTTCTTTCTTTCTTCCTCCACAGTAGAATTTATTACCCAGCTCGACACACTGCAATGCTGGAGCAGTGGGATTTGCACCACTTCAGCACTGAACAGACCCCTCTGCAACATCAGAAGTGCAGAGAAAGACTCCGACACAACTTTCCCCCCTGCTGACAGCACCAGCGCTATGTTTGAGGACTGCAAATTAAGCCGTTATAACCATACAAAGACGGTGGCATTTGGAAAAAACAGATTAAGTGTATCTTTGTTTTCTTTTTTTAATTAACCAGGATGAGAGTAAACCAGACAAAAACTTCACTGAATTGATCCCTCAAGAGTTTAAGAGAGCAAACCTGAATTTTGGATAGCAACTTTGGAGTCCAAGACTCATTAACACTTCCCACCTCCTATTCTTCCCTGAGATGCCTCTGTTGGCAGATCCCCATTTCCTCACCCGATGTTTCCGCTTCTCTTTCATAATATCCTTGGTGTCCTGAAGCATTTTCTCCTTCCAAAGGTCAAAGAAATATGAAGGATCTGTGTAGAACTTAAGTGCCTCTTTGCCATCATCCCTAGAACAGGGAGGGGGGAAAAAAAAACAAACCACACAAACAAGGACCAAGTCACACATTTGTTTGAAGCCCAAGGAAAACACAAGGCACAACCCCAGATGACAACTTAAAAGTCTGCAGTGAGAAGGTCAAACATGCTGCTCTTGCCTCTGTCCTTCATTTCAGAACAGGCAGTGGACCCACAGCCTCACTTGTCCCAGTTCTTCCACTGGTCATTGCTTCTGCCCTCACACAAACTCTCCATTACTCAGCATCTGAAGAGCTCAACTGCTCTGAACAATCACTGAGAGAGCAGCAGGTCTCTCACTTCAACTCCCACTTGTTTGCATTGTATTTTTGGTGTGGAAAAAAAAAACCAACCAACAAACCAACCCTTCTCCAGCCCAGGAACCCTAAATCAGACCAGCAACGTCCTTGAAACTCATGAGTGAGCACACACACACACACACACTCTCCTCCTACTTTGCAGTGCAGCTGCGTCTGGCAGAGGACAGCTGCCTCCAGCTATCTGTAATTACTTTTTACCTGTTCAAAAGATATTTATGGATGTGGGCTAAGTCTCTGTATTCTGACCCCCTTTTACTTCTGCTACCTACAAGATGAAATCAGAGCAGGACTGCTTAGAAGAACTGGTTACACAGCCAATGTAGGTGACATCGGATGTCTCAGGCAGCCACAGAAAGGCATCTCCAGATCTACAGGAGTCTGCTGCACCCACCTGGGTGAGAGCCACTTACAGATGTAGGCTCTGCAGTTTGCACTGCGGCTTTCTGGAAAGGAGCCACAGGGCTACAGAGAAGCACAAGAAAAATGCATCATCTGCACAACACCTAGCACGTTTATGCAGTGCAAGCCAAGCCTTGCCCCAAGGCAGTCACAAAAGTGACAGCAAGGAACCAAATATATAATTTCATAGCTACACTCATTTGTACAGCCCCAAAAGCAAAGTTTCATGTAACCCAGAGGATGGAGATTCCCTCGTGGATGTGTTAAGCAACTCAATTTCCCATTGGAAATGGCTACTTCAACCCAGCACGGGATGGGAAATGACCTCCTCGGCACGTTAAGAGAAGGAGGTACTTCTCTGAAAGGGAACAAGGGGCCAAGAAGGTGTTGCAGCCATACCTGTAAGGTGAGAGAATGTTGAGAGGTGGAGGAGTATTGCAGGTCCTATAGGTTTCAAGGACAGGCACCGGGAGAGAATCCCTGTCGAAGAGCTTCTGGTCCTGAGTAGTGGAGCTTTTGAAGGCCTTCCTGGTGTTAATGCCTTGCAGGGAGACTGTAAGGAAGAGGAAAGAGCAAGTGAAGAACAGCTTGACCCAGGCCAATGACACTGAAGATCAAGTAGCAAACATCTGATTTCAGTTGGAGTTCTTGGCATGCTTAGCACTTCTTAAGGTCAGGTTCCTTTTCCCACAGATCTCTGGGGAAAGCCAGCAAATCTCAGATCATGCTGTGCCAAGATCCACTGCTGTGTAGACACGGCTCTCCTGAGAGTTGCCAATGTGATTTGGAACCCCTGTGACCAAGACTCAAGAAGTGCACTGCTATCAAACTGCTGAAAAGTGAGTTTCCACGTGAAGACTTGCTAACGAGCAAATCCAGACTCAGTCAGAAAGGCCATCCACATGAGCAGCACGGTGCTTTTTCAGGAGGGGAGGAAACAGTCCCTCTTAGTCCAAGAGAAGACATTCCAACACCCATGGCAGCATCATGCTCATTTTATGGCCACGAACCAACCACGCTGACTCAATAAGAATCTTTACCCCGCTCGGTCTGCAAGGACTGCACTCCACTCCATTACCTTCTTCCTCTTTGGGATCCAGCTGAGTGACTTTGACTTGCAAGCGGTCAACTCTCTCAACTAGAATGCTCATCCGAGAGGCAAAGGTGTTGGCTTGAGTAAACAACTCTCCAAATATGTCTTCTGCAAATTTACCTGGAATATTAAAGGATCCACATTACCCTTGTGAGCCACAGCAGACCACATTCAGTCTCCTAACTTGTTTTCTTGAAGAAAGAAAGAACAAACCATTCTTCTTTTCAAGTTTGTCAGGGTTGAGTTTAACATCCAGCAAGAAAAAACACTCTGTTCCACCAAAACCTGACATTTCCAAGGGATCTTCAAGCATAAAGAAACAATCAAGACATACTTTCAAGTCATTATTAAAGTAATGAAATAAAGAGGGCTGGCAACACTATACTGGTCTGGATCTGGAAGGGTGTGTAGGTCCTTTAAGATTCTCTGCTGTTCTGTTTATTAGACAAGCAAATACAGTTAGATTTTTATTGCTCTGGAGAATCTCAAAGGCTCCCAGTCTCCAGCAGACCTGCCTCCAGGGTAACTGGCACATTATTTACAAGCTCAAAGTACTCTGGAAGTAGAGAGCAGACCCAGTCCTCGATCCTAAAGCCTGAGCTCTCACCACAGAAGAAAGCACTGACCCTTTTGTTCCTTCAGGTGGCAGTGTCTGAAAAATTGATGCGTTCACGTTTATTCTAAAATCAAAACCAAAAGGGAACTTCTCAAACAGGGATATTCTCTCTGTAACAGCTTGGATTGCCCAGTGGGCTGCTATGACAAACATCATCCATCGTCTGGACTGCCAGAGTGCCTACGGGCTTGGATCAGGAGCTCGCTGCACCACATACAAGCATAACAAAAAAGATGTCCTCTGTCCTTAAGAGTTTCAAATCTACGCATACAACAAGAGCTGACCACAGGTAGATAGAGATGGAAGAGCTGGAAGAAAACCAAGAACTTACACTGAGTAATGTCTTTTTGTTCTGCTCTCAGGCATAACTCAAGACAGGGAGCCCTAACCACATCGAGGACAACACTGATCAGATCAGACTTGGCACCAAGAGCAGACATAGGCCCATGGAGTTCCCACTGATGGAAAACATTTCCAGCCACGGCTGTTGAGTACAAGGCTGCTCCCAATAAGCAGTCTGGTTTTGAAGTGCATCATCATATGGTCAACAGTTTGTTCTGGAATCTGTTACTCCTAAAGATCCTCTCCGACATTCAGGAAAGGATAACCAGTTGGAAACCTAACTTTAACAGCAATTTTGGAAAATCTGGTTGTCTGCAATGAGTCATATCAGTAAGATGAGCGTCCCTTCCACGAGGCAACGCAAGGGCATCCCCCAAAGCCCAGCTGCACAAATACTTTCAGTTATCTAAACTGAAATATCAGCTACTTGTTCATATTCCCCTGCAGTTCTTACACAGCCAAGCACGGAGAACCAGCCAGGTTAAAAATCAACCTCCTCCACCCCTTTTGGTGGCAATGCCAGCTTGAAGTGTTTGTAGAAAGCAAATGCTGGAAGCTAACTTCAACTGACCTCCTCCTTCTGCTCTCCTAGACCATACAGACCCCACATATACCCTCCACTAACAAGCCAAATGAGCTTTCCCCAAACTCATGAGAAGGATTTTATTTCTGGAGACCTAAGGGCCAGGTAGCTCTTGCTATAGCCAGGTTTCACGAAGCATTCTCCATGTTCAACACTGACACAAGACCAGCTCTCCTATTTGACCAAAAAGAAGTGAATTTTTATCTAGGGGATAATTTGACACCTCCTGGCAACAGGTCAAAAAAAGAAAAGTTGTAATTTGGTTTCTACTTTAGTGAGAATTGAAAATAATTTCTGAGTTTCACAAGGAACTGCAACAAGCACTGGGGGGGGGGAAATAAATAAATAAAGTCTTTGGTTTGCAATGCTGAGTAATATGTTTCAAGCACAAAATTAATATATAAACAGTGTTGCTTATAGCAGTCTTGACCCTGGGGGGAAGATGGGAAAGAGAAGGCTCCAGGGAGATCTTATACCAGCCTTCCAATACCTGAAGGGGCTACAAGAAAGCTGGGGAAGGACTTTTCATAAGGGCAATTAATGACAAAACAAGGGGAAATGGGTTTAAGATGAAAGAGGGGAGGTTTAGATTAGATATTAGGAAGAAGTTCTTCACTGTGAGGGTGGTCAGACACTGGAACAGGTTGCCCAGAGAAGCTGTGGCTGCTCCTCCCTGGAAGTGTTGAAGGCCAGGCTGGATGAGGCTTTGAGCAACCTGGTCTAGTGGAAGGTGTCCCTGCTGATGGCAGGGGGGTTGGGACTGGATGAGCTTGAAGGTCCCTTCCAACCCAAACCATTCCATGATTCTATGATTTTCATATTCCTTTGCTGGTGTAAGTTCACCTGTACAGAGTTATCACCCGGCACCTCACACGCCGTCCTGTGTTTCATGTAACACTTTTAGATGGGGTAAGGCAGAAATTAATTTTTTTGGTTTAGTTACTTTGACTGCAAAAGTGCAGCTTACAATCACAATTATCTTTGTCATGCACTGGTAGGAAGACAGACGGCATGATTTAATAGGTCTTTTCCATCTTTAGCTTGTGGATTCTATAAAATCACACAGAAACACACAGTCGACTTATACAAAGTGCTACCAGCTGTGATAGTAACGAAGGGTAAACTCACTGGAATATGAAAGTTTGACAAGATTTATGTTTGCATCTTTGTAAAGAGACTGTGGCGCAATAGGCATGGCTGATTATTCACTTGACAGGGCTGTCACAGCCTACTGAACCTGCTTTACGTTCCTGTAATATTCAACGGACAAGGAAAGAGAGGATTTATTTTTCAGAAGGAAGAGAAAAAGAGGGAAGGGGCAGGAATTTGGTCATTTGGGGGGGAACGTTTCTGTAAGCAGTTAGTCTAAATAGTGCTTCATTTAAAATACTGCTGACCCTAGGGAAGTGGGTAAGAGACAGTGCTCAGCATTTCCTCCCCACCTGCCTCGCTCTCCTCTTCCAGACAAGCACGCAAGTGTCAGCAAGAGCCACCTCTCCTGAGCTTCCCCTCCAGCGCTCTCCTCGAGGTATCCACGATTGGTCCAGCAGCACGTACCTCCCTCCCCACATCGCCCAGCAAGGCTCCCAGGGTACCTTCCCCATAAAGAAACCCGCCTGCAATTCAGCTTCCAGTGCTTCACCCTCTCTGATGAGGTAGAAACTGTGAAGCTTTGAATATCTGAGCTGTGCAGAGAAGGTTTAAACCTGAACGATCTCGGGTACCTTCCTGACAAAGAAATCAGGCTGAAATTTGGCTTCCACTGTTTCACCCTTTCTGATGAGGTAGAAACAGTGAAGCTTTGAGTATCTGAGCTGCAAAAAAAAGGTCTAAACGTGAAGGATCTCACCACAGCTCTGTCACGCTAACCCACAGCACGCCTTTGGACTGGGATTAGCTTCCTCTGCAGCTGAGGTGTGCACAGCTTTACTGCCTTCTTCCTCATCATTTCACATGCACGAGATGAATTTCACTCACTCTCCACAACCATCTTGGCTACAAGACCTAACAAATGAACAAGGTCCAGGTGAAAGCGAGCAGAGAGACTGCTCTTGCCTGTGCAGTGACATTTCTACAACCCGACAGAATGTGATACCGACTGGCAGCAAATACAGGCCCAGATTTTAGCAACAGCCATGGTTTTCACTGCTGGAAAGAGATTGCACCCAAACTTTCCCAGCCACATTCACGCTACGGTGGAAAGACAAGGGGCTTGCTTTGCAGAGCAAGCAGAAGTGCTTGCAGACACCACAAAGAAGCTAAACAATATATTAATTTGATTATCAAAGTCTTGCTTCAAGGACAGAGGTGGCTAATCAGAATCCAGAACATTTCAACAGAGGAAGGAGTCATCCCAGAGAGACCACAATTAACTCTTGGTTTCTCTGATGGCACGTAGGCTCACGTTTTCCCTCCAGCCTTCACAAGGCTGTGGGTCAGTACACTGGAGAGCTGAGCTAGGCACGGCTACAGCTCCTGCTGCTGTTTTCAGCCAGTGGCCCCAAACCTCCCCCAATACTCCAGAGGTCAACGTTTGGCTCAGAGTGGGGACTTTGGGTCTTGCAAAGCAACAAACAGCAGGAGCAAGGAGGCAGCTTCTGCCTGTGCGCTTTAATTATCTTTCATTAAAAATAAGATTACTGACACAGCGTAGATTCAACAGAGTCAAGCTCCATTTAGTAGCTCGTGCAATTACAGGCACATTCTCCGACACAAGATCCTGGCTGCTGGGAGAGTCTCCCATTTTACAAGCTGGAGTTGAGCTTCATCCTTCCATCTGCAGTTTCACTGCAGCCTCTCACACGCGTGCACACACACACACACACACACACACACACACACACACACCCCCCCCTCCTCATTTTCTCTTAGATAGGAAGGCGGTGGGACCAGGGATATGAAATTAGCATCAGATTTCTTTAGGAAAACATTTTAGCATTACCCAGGGAAGGCAGATGGGGGAGAAATAGGAACACGAGAGTAGAAAGGGAGCTAAATAAAGAGCACTAGCGACTCCTGAGGGCAACGCGCAGGCTCGCCATGGTACTCACTCAGGCTGCCCAGCTGTCGAATGACATTTGCCAGGGTGATGTTGGTCATGCATTCCAGCTCGCTTCGAACGCTAGGCAACGTCTGACGGCACAGGTGCCTTGGCTCAATGTTCCTCGTTACTAACGGCATGGTGGACCTGCTTCAGGCACTGTTCTGAAAGATGAAAAACAAACCCAAAAAAGAAACAGGAAAGGATTACTCAACCACAAATTCCAGGCACACCAGAGCCATGGTGTTCGTTTTTCCTGCTCTCAAATGGCTTTATTTATAAGCCTTCTCTTCTCCCCCTCATCCCCACCCTTATAAAACTGGTTCATCAGAAATAAAGATCCTGCTGTTCTATGACTTGTGGTGACAGCAAAGCCCCACCAGCTCAGGTAGAGAGGAAGGGAGGGAAAACCTGCCCACACGCAAGGTGCTGCTGGCGTTACCGCAGCCGTTGTTCCCATCCGCCGCCTCTGAGCAGTCTCCCTCCTCCCTCACAGCATCTCTGGCGAGTCTTACAAGCTCTTTTTCAGAAATATTTTAAAACTTGGAATCAATAGGTTTGTTTAAGCAGAGAGGATGAAGATGGGAGATGTTTAAAAAAAAAAAGAAGACAACAAACTCAAGCTTCTTCCAGCACAACAAAGAGTACGTGGTGCCTCCCTCCTGGAGCAGCACAGACAGGGCTCTCCTGAAACAACAGGAAGCTCTTGCAGCTGACCAGGAAACTTTCTGGTGACTGTTCCTTATCCTGCAGGCTGCACCCCTCTTCCCTTGGGAAATCCCCCGGGGGTTGAGGTTTACACTGGACTATTGTTTTCATGCTATAGCAGTTTAAGGTTGAGGGAGCTTTAATCAGGATGCAGGACTAGAGTGTGCTCAGAAAGAAGTCAAGATTGATTGTACAAGTCAGGACAAACTTCCAGTTCTTTCTTAAAAAAAAAATTAAAAAAAGAAGAAAACTTAACTGCCTGGAAGTTATGCTTCAGACAGAAAACTCTTTTATGTGCAGGACAGTCCCTTGAACTAACAAAAATCTCCTTTATAACAGGTTGAAACGTTGAAGCAACAAACGGCTCCTTCTCAGATCATCCGCCTCCAAGAGAGGAGGAAACCAGGGTAAACAGCTCAGAACGAGGAGCACCAATACATCCCTGAAATCTTTCGGGCTAAGTGAAAGCAAATACATCCCAACTTCTTGACTAATTTAGAAGGGGAAAGAATCACTTTTCTAGGTCAGCTGAGGAACAACCCAGGAGAAGCAGCCAGCTCCCATGTGATAGGCATGCTGATCTGCTTGGGCTGGGTGTAAAAATAAAACAGGAAGCTAACAGCTTGGGGAACATGGCTTCCTGTCACCAACAGCAAAAACCCAAGAACCATAAAAAATCAGCTGTTTGCTCTTGACTTTGAGCCACCCTTTGATAGTCTCTGTGGCAGCTGGCAGCTTATCTTTGAGGTCCAGGAGTCCTTCCTGGATGCTTTTCTATCAGGGTGTTAAGAGGAAGAAGTGGGCATTATCCCTCCTAATTACCTCACAAGGCAGATTTTTGAATTGCTAAATTTGACCCATTAAGGCAGAGGAGTTCAAGAGCAGCAGCCACACCGGGCACAGGCAGATGCAGGTTGCCATTTTGCAACGCCTCTACGCCAGGGATTTTTGCGTTGTTTGTCCCTACACATGGAAAAGGTCCCCAAAATCATACAATTTCTAGAAAAGGGGAGCAAGATCTGCATCCAAATAAATAAAAGCAGAGACTCTCCGAGGAGTGAAGCCCGTGTTGCTCCTCACAGTGTCCAAGCACTGCAGTAGCCATCAGTAACTGCTGGGATATTTAAAGAACAGGGTGAACTAAGGAAGGACTCTGACCTTCGCCTCTAAACACCCCGTGTTTTATCGATTACAGCCCAAACCCTACAATCCTTTGTCAGCTTGAACGTTTTATACCAGACAAACTTTCCCAGCTCCCCCCCAGACTGCAGTCTGCACCAACAAGCAGTTCTCATAAACAAGGCAGCATTTGCAGGCTGCCTGCATCCAGCTTCTCCCCCCCCCTTCCCAGTGCTTCCCCAGGGCTCAGCCAGGGAGCACACGCGGTGGGATCTGCAGAGCCAGAGTGGACAAGCCAGGCTGGAAACCTTCCAAGGTGCAGGACAGAAAG